ATTTTCATATATATAGATATATATATATTTACAAACAAAATTAGTTTATTTATTTTTTATTTAAAAAATATAAAATATTTTTATATATTTTCTTAAATTTTATTTCTAAAATATTTTATATAATTTTATATGATATCAATTTTATCTCTAAATTCTTAAATTTAATTTTGTTTTCTAAAATTTTTTTATAAATAACTAAGATATTTATACATTTTTGTCAAATTTAAATAAAAAATTGATATTTTTAATATTTAAATCTAAATATATTAAATTGTATCTTGAAATAAAAATAAATAATATGGAAGCTACGATTATAAAACTAATAACATTTTTTGTAATGTTTATTATTATAATAATAACTGGTAACATACCTTTACGCATAAAATCATTTAAAGAGAATCCTCGAATAATGTCCTTATCATCTGCTTTTGCCGGAGGTTTATTTTTATCAATAGGAATATTACATATATTACCTGAATCATAAGAATATTTTGATAATTATTACATTGATAAATTACCATTACCAGATTTAGCAATTTAATAAAAAAATTTGAATGAATAATAAAATGAAGAAAATTAAGACTAATAATAAAATGAAGAAAACTAAGATTTAAATTAAAATAAAGACCAAAATTAAGAATTACATGAACGTGAAGAATAACATGAACATATTGATGTAAAACACAATAATTTCCCATGGTCATTTTTTATATCAATTATAAGCTTTTCATTAATTCTTTTTATAGATAAGGTTATTACAGGAGGTCATTCACATGGTGATCATACACATGGTGATCATTCACATGGTAACCATTAACATGATAAAAATTAATATTTAAATAATGATTGTAATTAGGAATAATAAAATTTCTAAAATACTGAATAGAAATTTATTAATAATCCTGAATAATTTGTTAAATAGAAAGAAAATATAATAAAAGATAAAGAAATAAATATTAATGAAACTAAAATAATATAATAATAATAAATCTTTTCTTATAAATTTAATATAGGATAAAATATAGAATGCTAAAATAAGTAATAAAGTAATGCTATTTGTTAAAATGAAGACTAGGATAGACATATAAGATTGAGTTTATCAAAATAAAAAAAATAAGTTGATAAAATAAATAAAGAAATTGAAAAAACAGATAATTCGAAAAACTTAAAACCTTATATACTATAAGTAGCTTTTGGTATACATGCAACATTAGAAGGATTGGTTATTGGACTAGAAAATGATTGGATAAAATGTTTGATATTTGCAGCAGCAGTATTATGTCACAAATGGGCAGAAGGAATTACAGTAGGACTTTTATTTAAAAAAGCTAATATTAATTTGAAAGTAGCTACAATAATGATTTTTATTTAAGCTATTATGAATCCTATAGGAGTAGGAATTGGATGGAGTTTAAGTAATTCAGGAAGCTTAGTTATAGGTATTTTTATGAGTATAAGTGCAGGAACATTTATTTATATAGCAACTTTGGAAGTTTTAGTAGAGGAATTTAGTGATAAAAGATTTAGGTTTGAAAAATTTATATTTTTTTTAATAGCGGTAGGGTTTATAAGTGGATTATGGTTTTTAGAATAGAAAATAGGATATGAATGATCATATTATTATTGAAATTAAAATTTTTGTATAATATTATATAATTTTATTATTTTTAAAAATAAAATAAAATATATAGTTAACATAAATTTTATATAATAAATTTAATTAATTAATTATATAATAATATATATAAATTTCTAAAAAATAATAATATATATAAATATATACATATATATATATATATATATTAAATATATTAATATTATTTTTTATATATTTTCTATTTAGCATTTTTTATAGAAAAAAAAATCATAAAAAGAAAAAATATATTAAATATAATAATTTACACTTAATTTTTTTTTTAAAATAAAAATAAAAACATTCAAAAAATTTTATGCTCACTTAAGAATAATTCGACTAAAGATACTAAAAACACAACATATTAGGATAGGGAACATATGGTGTTGTATATAAAGCCTTAGATATATCAACTAATGAATTTGTGGCTATAAAACAAATAAGAATGGATCCATCTGAAGACGAAGGAATACCTGCCACAACTTTAAGAGAAATTGCAATGTTAAAAAAACTAAATCATTAAAATATTGTAAAATTGAGAGATGTTCATATTTTTTTAGATGAACCAAAAATATATTTGATTTTTGATTATTATAAAAGAGATTTACGTACTTATTTAAAAGAAATGCCTGATCCAGAGACTAAAAACATATAGTTTTTTAAAAAATGTTTAAATAAATACTAGATGCAGTTGATTATTGTCACTCAAATGGGGTACTTCATAGAGATTTAAAGCCTTAAAATATACTTGTTAGTGATAATGATGAAATTAAAATTGCTGATTTTGGTTTAGCTAGGGCTTTTAATTATCCAATGAAAGAATTAACTAAGGATATAGTAACTTTATGGTATCGTTCTGCCGATTTATTATTAGGTTTTTATTAATATTTTTTTTTTTTTTAATAATATATTTTTTATTATATAAGGTGAAAAAAAATATGATCTTTCTATAGATATGTGGTCTGTAGGATGTATTTTGGCTGAATTTATTACTAAAATACCAATTTTTATGGGAGATTCTTAAATTGATTAGCTTTTTAAGATATTTAAGGTTACAGGAACACCGAATTAGTAAATATGGCCTGAAGTTGTAAAATATGAAGATTTCAAAACAAGTTTCCCAAGATTTTAGGCAGATAATATATTTAGAAATTAACCAAAATTTCAGATTATAGGAGAATATGGAATTTAACTTTTAGAATCATTACTTACTATAGTTCCTTACAAAAGACTTAATGCTTACGAAGCATTAAATACACCTTTTTTTAAAATTTGATAATTTATATTTACTTTGATAAACTTAAAAAAACACTATTATTATTTATTTAATGAAATAATAAAACTTTTAATATATATTATATTTTAAAAATATTTTAAATAAAATTAAAAAAATTTAAATCATAAATAAAAGGATTAAATACATTTTTATAATAAAATATTAAAAAATAAATATTCGCTAAATAAAAAAAAATAAATTATATATGTAAAATATATAAAAATAACTATTTTATTATATATATTAATATATATAATATATATATATATTTATATATATAAATATAATATTAAAATAATTTTAATTATATATTAATATATTTTTTTTATTAT